GTATCAGTATGATTTCTGTGTTTATAAAATAATTTCTAGTTCCTGTGATTTTCAGAGAAAACATTCAAAATGGTAGTTCCATGGGCCCAACTCACAAAGCAGAAATTTCCTATATGTACATAAAAGAAAAGTCTCATTGGTTCTGGTAGTAGTATTTAAAAAAAAATATATACACATGAATATTCAGTAAACACAGACAAAATTTCCTCTACTAAAGCACATCATTAGCAACTTTCTAGCTGTGAGATAGCCAGGTTTTAATCCTCAGGAGCTACTTCTTTTCCCTTGTACCTGTTCAGTAGCTAGACCTGTACAAGAAGCCTGTATTAGAAGCTCTACGTTCTCAGGGGTAAAGGGGGGCTTGGATGCATGGGTAATATAACATCCCTGATTAGCCAACTACCACAAGAAATGCAGAAAAGCACAATGTGGAAACTTGGCCACCCACCAGTGAAGTCCATGTGGGTCCTTCAGGACTTATTAGCACTTTGGTGTCTCTGCACCATGATTCCTCCAGAACTCCAGATTCGGGAGGTCTTCTTAACCATCGACGTCAACTGCCCCGCACAAAGCAAGTTCAGATCCGGTTTTCCAGCCAAGTTAATAAAATCCCCTGGAACGTGGAACACAGCACAGAAACACCCAAGTGAATCTGCACAGAGCCAGCTTGGGTCCATCAGGACTTATTAGTGCAGACACTGTCTGAAAGCAGCTGCACTGCAAAGCTGGTCCTGGAAATAGCAGAGATGTGTTAACATGGCACAGCACTTGAACTAATAAACTGTTAGTGCTGAGCTGAGTCTGCTCTAGGCCAAATCTGGTGCCTGTATAACCACAGCATAGCTAATCTGAAACTGGAGAAACTACCCAAAGAGTTGACTCTATTTCGAGCCCAGCATGCACAGCTCTACCCCTACCCACATGCCCAAGTCTTCTGCCCTCATCAACTTCCTCCGTATGACCAAACCCTCCATCTACCCCCTTCCTGTTTGTTCATCATTTTCTCTCTTGACTATTCACATCCACTTCTCAACCTTCCTCTAAACGTCCATGATAAGGCTGCATAATGTACACCAGTGGCTTCCAGCCTTTCAGGAGTGATTAACATGGTTACCACCCACTCCTCATCATACCTCCTCTACCAGACCAACACTTCCCAACTGCTCTCCCCCCCGGCTTCTGGCTACCCCCTTTGTCCTGGCCTTGGTGTTTCAATCCTTAACGTAGGCACAATTATGCTTATAAAAACATAATTGTATTAGCATATCAAATCATCCTGCCTCCATGGGAAAAAAATAAGTATCAGCGGAAACACCATCCCAAGAGGTCTCACCAGGACAAGGGCAGGTTACCATTTCTAAAGGTAAAATTTACTGCCTCACCTAGAAGTCGCTTAGCAGCCAGCCCAGACATGACTGAGGCCCTCCTTTCCCCTTCCTACACGGACTTCCCTTGTGTGACTCTCCCACACCAAACACCTTGAGTGTTTTGGTGTGGCAAAGGGCTGGTAAAAGCAAGGACTGTCATCAGGCTGCTGCCAGAAACAGTGAACCTGGAAAGAATGTCATAGGAAAGAACGAGGGTAGGCAAAGACTGATTGAAATGAAGCACAGGGTGACTGGCCTGCTGACGGAACATCAACTCTGCCTCTCAGCTCAGGCAACTCTACTCCCCCTTCCCACCTTCACCCTCCTCTACAATCCATGAAAAACACATGCTGAGCTGTGTGTTTGGTAGCTCTGTGCTATTCCATGTAGGCATGAGATGGACACTAAGGATCAAAGTTTTACAGTACTAGAAATATAATGACAGAGTTATCCACTTGCAACAGAAAACGACAGAGTCTGGCCCTCTAGAATCGTTCAAGAGGGCTGGGCTAACACACATCAATGGTAAAACAACCACTCCAACTGCATTACTCCTCTTCAACAAAGAACATGGGCAGTTCTCCCTGACACAGGAAATTCCTTGTTTCTGAGAGGTTTCCACAATACATAAATCAATATAAAAATTAAGAAATCAGAAACAAAATTGAAATTTATCTCCTCAGTCATCAAACACGCTCTGAACAGCAGAGCAGCAATTTACTGTCTATGAATTATATCATAGTGTATAAATGTGTACTGAAACAAGGACATTTGTAATAATTTTATAACCTTCGATACTAAAGCTGACAAGCATACTCTGCTCACTTTCTACAGCAATTAGAAAATTAAATCTGCGCCTGCTTTTTAGCTGCTGTGTTCCAGATATCAACCTGATGTTTTCAGTTGCTAAAGTCCAAATAAAGAATTTCACCTTTCTCTCATATGTGCTTTTTACACAGTTAAGTGTTTCTACATGTCACATAAGCAGGAAAACCATGGTCAGAGACTTGTGCAAAAACAGATTCTCAGAACGACGTAGTAACTAAGGAATCAGCGCAACACATGCATCATCATTCAAACTCCAGACATATTTTTGCCTTGTTCTAGGAAGCTGTTGAATCTCTAACAGTCCAAATGACTGAAAAATACTGATACTTAAGAAAGCGAGTTTCAGTTCTCATTGTTCTACTTCTGTACTTCTGACAGACCTCATTCTTTTTTAGACCAAGATATCGAGTGTCTTTGAAGAACTAGTCACAATCTCCATCAATACAGGAACTTTTAAGATGTCACATTCAAAGCAAGATGAGTGGCATATATGCAAGTGGAGATGTTACTAGGTTATTTAGGATGGTATACATTATTAACCTTATAAACTGTTCTAGGAGTCAGACTACCCAGGTGAGCAGTTCAAACTAACTTAAGCACTTGAAGCTGGGATCTTAGTGCCTTTATATGAGAAAAGTTTTGGAGTTTCTTGCATAGCATTAACACACCTTGCTCCTTCCTCCCACTATGGACAGCATAATGGCCAGATACGAGAAGAAATACAGGCTATTTACACCTAGAAGGTGTTGGTAGACTTATTAACAAATGGTATTAAACTCACATCCAGATCCAGATCCTGCAATTAATTACACCAGTAGTTTTTATGCACGTATGTAGCATAATGCCATGTGGGTATTATGAAGATATGGATTGCCATATGAATAAAATTTAACATAGTCAAAGAAAATGCATTTTTTGTTCTAAATCCAACTACATCCATCTTCATTCCTAAAAGTAATCAGGTCTTTCTCCTACAAATTCTGCTAAATGGCCAGTGAAGAACTTCTGAGATCCATTCAAGAAAGCAGTTAAGAAATGCAAAACTTGAAAAGTCATAAACGTTAACTTTAAAAAATTCTTTTCTGAAACAAACTGCTACAACCAAGCTAAATCACTATATTTATTTAATTTCATCAGTCCCGTTCATATGATTGGCAAGTCTCATCAGCCATGGAGTTCTGAAACTATCAGCCACAGACTTTTTTTAAAATCACTATGTGCTTTGAGGTTCTACTAAGGCTTAATAAACTTTCCTAAAGGTCTGGAGTACTATATAAATTTTGTCAGAGTTCTGCTGGCATAATTGGTAATACAAACTGTCTGGCTTCATGAAAGTTACAAGCTCTGGCTCCAATCCTGCAAACACTTACTGAAGAATTTAACTTACTGCACAGAACTGACTACTCATGCATAAGTTGAGCATATTTGTAAATATTTGCACAGTATGGACATCTGTTGGCGAAGCTAGTCATCGGATACAAGATTCAGCTTTAAATCCTAGTCTGCACAAAGTCAATATTAAAAAAAAAAAAGGAATTCCTCACTTATAAATTCCTTCATCAAGCATGTCAGATACCAAAGGGCAGAACTGAAAAGGTAAAACCAGAGGAAGAGAGGAATCAGTGAAATCATAACAATTGGTTCTGTTTCTCATATAACTAGAGAAGCCTGGTTTCTTACAGATGTCTGTCTCAAGATTGGGCTTATGCCCTGTTCTCAAACTTTGCTGAACTAAGCTCTTGCTCTACCTTTCCTTCAGTGGTGCCATTTATAGTATTTCTCACATCATCACAGACATTTTCACAAACCTCATAAAATTATTCGAAAGAGCTCCTCTATTTAGTCAGGTTTGGTTGAAATTAACACTCAAAAGTTTTGGGTGGGGTGAGAAATAAGCCCAGTACAAAGCTGACCCACATATAATTGTTTAAGTTGCATTTCCTTAGGAAATCAAACTAAAAGAGTACTTATGCCTCCTTCCTCTTTAGTATCTTGGAGTTTGAGCACATCCTGTTTCACTTACCCTCTTTAACACAAAAACCTTTTGCGATCTGTGAGTTTAAAGTTTTAAAACCTAATACTGGACAGAAATAAATGTAAAGGGGAAAAGGCATCTTCCCATTTATTCAGTACTAAGTGAGAGAAGTGAGAGAAACTAAGCCAGCAGTGTTTAAGGCCTTGTGTGTATTGCATCTCCAGAGCTGCCATGTGGAGGTCAGTTTCTTTAGCCTAGAGAGTGCAAGACCTGAGATCTCGCTCTGACTTACGGTTTCCAAGGAGTTTGCTTTAAAGATGAGGTTTTAGGGTACTAAACCGTTTCCTTCAAAAAAAAAAAAAAAAAAAAAGTAGGAATGGACTAAGGGAACAGAGGCAAGGTGGGCTGCCAGCAGCAGGGAAACAGTAAAGCTCCATCAGGGACCTCAGGAACATGGCAGCTCCTCTCCCTGGGACTCACAATTGCTTTTTGCAAACCAGGGGCGAAAAACCCTCATGACACACAGAAATAAAACGCAGAGATGCGGTGAAAGAAACAGGGTCCCTGGGGAGGAGAAGGGGGGGGCACTCTGTAGGGCCTTGTGTAAAGGCTGTGTCTCAAAACGTCCTTACCACACCAGGGCTGGGGCAGGTCTCCGGGCTGCTGTGGGCAGCCCAGCCCCAGCCCTCGGCGCAAGGCACCCGTCTCCTGCCCGAGCGACGGCCCAGCCCCGCCACGATGCGACGCGGGCAAGCACCGCCAAGGGCCAGTCAGCGGGGCGCGGCGGAGAACGAGAGACCGGCGCTGCGGCAGAGCCCCGCTGAGGTTACCTGGTGCAATGAGCACCCACCGGCCTGGGTGCGCGCCCGCGGGCCGCTGCTTCGCGCCGTGCATGCTCCGTACGCCCCGGGCTGCCGCCGCCGCTCCCGCCGCCGCCGCAACATGGCGGCCGGGGCGGCGCCGCACGGAGGAGGGAGAGAGGCGGGAAGAGGCTCCGCGCGCTCCCCGCCCGCAGGCCCGCGCGCGGCGGCAGGACGGCGCCACCCCGCGGGCGGGAGGGGGGTGGGGCGGGCGGGCGGCAGCAGGGCGCTGAGGGGGCTGAGGCTGCGCAGACGCCTCCTCCTCTACTTCCCCCCCCCTTCCGCGTGGAGAGAATGGTACAAGCCACTGCGGGCGGGACAGAGAGCGACACTGCCTCGCCCCCCCCCCCCCCCCTTTCCCAAGAGTTCCCCTCAGGGCGGCGGCGTCCCGGGAACCGCTCTCGGGCCGGGAGCGGACGGGCAGCAGGGCTGCTTTCCCATCCGCATCTTCCCCCTTAGACCCTGAAGGCTGGCAGGCAAAAGCTTCCTTTTAACCCTGTCCTGTCGCAGGCTGGGAGGTGACCGGTTTGCAGGGGTCCGCTCGGGGCGGCCATAGCTGAGCGGTGCCTGCCTCTGCCCCATCGCCGCCAAGCCCTGGCAGGAGGCAGCGACTCTGGCGAAAGCTTTGTCTTAAGGGGGGCGCGGCTTCGATTAGATGTGATGAGTTTGCGCCTAAAGGTAGAAGTGTAGGGCCGTGGAGGTGATAAACAGATTTGAGGATCTGACGTGAGGTAAAGGCCAAAAGCTGGGGTTGTTCAGACCAGAGATGGGAAGACTTGTGGTGGGGGGTGGTGTTCTTAATCCATGTGCATAAATACCTCATGGGGAGAGTTAAGAAGGTGGAGGCAGCCTCATCTCAGTGGTGGTGACTGACAGAGCCCGAAAGCAAAAGGCACAAACGGAAATTCCGTTGAAACATACGAAGAAAAGCCTTTAGTCCTGCGGGTGCTTGAACGCTGGGAGCGGGTTGTCCTGAGCAGCTAGAGTCTCCATCCATGGAGAGGTTGAAACAGCCGAGCGGGCACGTCCCTGAGCACCCGCTGGAGCTGGGCCAGCCCTGAGCAGGGAGCCAGACCCGCTCCAGAGGCGCCTGCCAGCCAGCGCGAGTCTGTGGAGCTTCGGGCCTCCAAAGGCTGGGCATGGGCCGAGCCAGAGTCCTCTCAACAGTCAGCCTTCCCGGTGTATAACATGATCCTGTTAAACAGGTCTGTTGCCTACAGACCGCATCATGGAGCCGTAGTCACAAAGTAAGATCCACGCTTGCGTGTATTTTCATACACATGTATATACGTGCATAAATTTAGCTTTACCAACACAAGAATGGGTTGATAGTCACCGTCCCAGAGATTTAGGAGACAAATACATGTTATCAAAAGTATTAAAGTATACATATCAATTGTAAATCTCAGAGATATGAAACAAATATTAAAAACATATTAACATCTATGTCCCAAAACAGAGCAGAACTAACCAAGGCCAACATATGCAAAACAGCTGAGTTGATGTAAGGCTGAAAAAAATAATTTCCTGAAGTTTGAGCGTATACATTCATAACTCTGAGATTACATTAATCTAAATTTGCTTTATTTTGATTTTGCTGATTTTTTTCCTTGCTTGAAGTAGGGCAGGATCTAAGTGCCAAAGACCACACCACATCATGTGTTTTGAAGAAGTCCCCACTGAAATCACTCGCTTTCAAAGTGATTGCAGTTTGCTGTAGCATATGCCTGGATTGCAACATTCACTGATGGGTCTTGTAAAAGCCTCCTCAGTACTTGTGTTAGCAAAGAGAGAGGGTCTTGACTGTTCCACTGTAATCCTTGTGAGAGCACTGGAAGAGCAGAACAGAGCTGGTTGCTGGGTTTAAAACCTTCCTAGAAGGAAAACCTTCCATATGGAGAAAAATTTATCCATAAATAACAACGTCAATTTGTCCTCCAGTCCTGAAAATGACAATGAGTTGCAGGCTGTTGAACACCGCTGAACTTAACAAAGCTCTGGAAAAGCTGGGGATCCAACCCTGCAAGCCTCCAGGTGCAGTGCGTTTCAGGGTCAGTCTAGAGGCATAACCTGCAGTTGTTCCAGACGTCCTATTTCCTCCCTGACTGTGGTGTGTGATGGAAACGTCACAGCAAACATTGCTGTACGTTTACAAAACTGACTTATTAAACTCACATTTATTCAAAGCACCGATCCATCCTTATTTAGGCACCTGGTAAGCAAGCTAATTTTCAGAGGTGCTGAGTACTCCTAACATCAGTTGAACTGAATGGACATTCCAGCTGTTCATTTCTTCTGATTTATGAGTGCCTCCCACAATTTCTAGGTGCGTATTGGCCCTGGGATCTATAATGTCCTTTTCCAGGAACGTTCGGATAGAAATGTTTTTCTCAGATTCTTCAAAATGCCCCAAACAGAAACTCGCAAATGGGCCTGAATAAGCCTCTAGAATGACATCAGTTTTGGAATAAAAATAATGGAGTAATTTATACATATTAGATATTTAAAACTTTCTGTTGTTACTTGTGCACATTTGAGATATACTATCTGTCTTTATAAACAAAGGATATACTATATTATTATAAACAAAAGATATACTGATTAGGGATTTCTGTCAGGAGCTGATGATACTAAAATCTTATTTGCTTAAGAATTAAATACTTTCCCTCCAGGCTTGCCAACACTTTTAAACCTTAGTGATATCTCCCAGGAAGAAAATGCTGAAGTTTAAAACACTAGACTGATCTGAACTGCTGTGGTGATATCATTGTAAATACTCGGATGTTAATTTTACACACATGGGTATTCTCATATGAGTCCATATGACTCATCATGTCCAGAAAGCTAAATGCATGCAATATGGGACTGCATCGGATCTGAGGACAATCGTTTTGGACATTTCAGAGCCAGTCGATGTGCATTCAGACTTCACCTTCACACCGTCCATGCATTCATTTCTGCTAGGGCTGCTTCTCGTAATTCAAATGTCTGTGAAAATGCAAACATCCCTTTTTGCCAAACAAAAATTACTTACTTTCTGTTGCCAAAGAAATGCTACCTTTGCCCACCTTCAGCTGCAGAATTTACCCTTTCCTCCCCCCTCTACATGAGCTTTAAGTGCATCAACTTTTAAATCTTGCTTGGAGCAAGAAATGAAACAAGTTGAGGAAGAAGTGTGATTCATTATTAAGTCAAGGTTGTCATTTAAATGACAAAAATGTTTCCACTTATGATTATGTTTCATTTTACACTGTTTCAACAAACAGATTATATTTATGGACCAAGTTTATCTATTTTATGCTTCAGTGGTTCAAACATTTACACGCATAACTTTAAATCCATCGATCTGCCCATTTGAGGGCATGCACTGTTACATTTCATCCCAGTAAAAGGCCTATTGATACATGTAACTTCAGCTGATGTACCAGCATAATTATGATTAATTTATCTAGTTTGAAATACTCTTCTCTGTTCATCACAGATCAAATCATTGTTTTGTTTGGTTTTATTCAAAGCAAAATATGTTTGGCATTGGAACAAATTGAAAATATTCAGTCTTTTTTTTTTCCTTATTTTTCTTCCTAATAGAGAGAAGAATTACAGCCATTTATCCTCACAACTATTGGGAGATGCATACAAAAAAAAAAAAAAAAAGAAAAAGAAATATGGAAGATGAAAAGATTAATAAAACTGTAAAAGGAAACATGAATCATGCTTCATGATACATTAAAATAAGCTCATTTAAATGACAAACGGTATATTCTTAGCATACTTTAACAGAACATAAACCGGTGATGAAGTATCTGTGTTCTGACCCACCAAAGCAAATCATAGTGCTTCCTCATTGTGTGACCAAAAATACTCCCTGATTTGACTGAAATGCAGCACCCATCTCCCTCAGTTCAAGTAACGGGATCATCTCATCACGCATGCCTTGGCACAATTTCAATTTGTGGCAGGAAAAATGGCCGGTTTGGCCACATGAAACACAGACGTGGTGGCACATGGGAGGGAACAACTCCAAGTGCACGGTCGTCTTGTTCTCCAGAATAGTTTGCTTGCCTCACAAAATGGTTTCCCAACCTCAGTTTTTTAAATTCAAAAAAATTTAAGAGCTCGTTAATCCCCATATTTAAATACTAGTGACCTTGGAAGTTTCTGCTGTGACTCAGAAGAACATAGGGAGGCCTAACATAGAGATGGCGTTGACCAGAAAGAAGACATACAGGCATTACAAATCCATGAAACAGCTCTCAAAAAACCATGCTTGAATTTCTAACTGAAATTCCAAATCCATTTTTTAAGCTGAAAAATAATTACTTTAAATAGTTTTTCATGACAGTATTCATCTAAGCAAGTACTTCTCTTACTAAAAATAGTCCATTTAAGGAAAATAACAGTATTCATTTAAAAGCACTCAAGCAATGATGAAAAAGATTTTAACCAGCTCGGAGCAGAAACCACTTTGTTCTTTGCACTAAATTATGTTATGTCACACCTATAGGTAACAATTATCAATTTTTGCCTTGACAGAAATTACCTACTGGGTTCCAAAGTTTGCCTGTACGTCAGGTCAAATAGGAGTGAGAGAGAGAAAAGGAAAGAAATCAGAATTAGATGGGGAAATACAGGCACACCCACAGAAGCCATGGGATTCATATTGCCTAATTTTATACTGTAAATACCTAGCTTCAAGCTGATTATTTAGTGTCTTCTTATGGTTAATGGAAAGAAACAGAGTAGCATTCATCTGACCTACTTTGTAATTTTATCTCAGAATTAGCCCACCTATCTAGCAGATGTCCAAATTGCAGATACCTCAGATGAGCAAGTAAGTATCTTTCTCCATTACTTTTTTTCTCTACCTGGACAGGCCTGTTGTGCATCCATCACACCTTAAGGACGGATGGGGACCTTATGGTGGGGTTAGCACAAGCAGATATTTATTGCCCCAAGTATGCTGGGTCCCCCAATTTTCTTTCAGAGCTCCTGAGAAATATTATTTTTCCTCTGTTTAATCAACCAGAAAATTCACTTATTGGAGGTGTGTTGCTATAGCAAGCAGAACTTGGTCTGTTTATAGAAGCTGCTCAGAATGATGTATACTGTTTGGAGGAAAAAGTTGAATGACTATACAGATTGTGAGCTGGCTT